GGTACCTGGCGGTTTTTTTTTTAAATAAATTTAGACTTGTGTGAAGGTTTTACTGACCTTTCCTTGGTTTGCTATAACCTGCATTTCCAGACTTTTCAACTCCTTCAGCAGGTTCTTGTACTCCGTTTTTCCAGACTCTAAAGCCTCGGTGTTCTTGGCCTCCTTCTCCTTGATGTTCTCAAACTAGGATGGAAGAATAAATAAGATTAGATAATCAAACCAGCACAGGAGGAAATTAGCAGCTCAGTTTCCCACCTTGTTCTTGTACCACTCTTCGGTTTCCTTCAGGTTCTTCTCAGCAACCTTCTCGTAATACTCCCGCATGTCTTTGACAATCTGGGCCAGGTTGGACTGCTGAGGCTCAATCTCCACCTTCACCTCAGAATTTTTGATCTTCTCACGCAGATTATTCACTTCCTACAACAGCCATGTGATAGAGTTAAACAGAAGACCAAAACAATGCAGCAGATGTGAGCAGATGTTAGCTGAGTGCAGCTTCACCTCCTTGTGCTCCTCCTCAAGGCGTTTCACCTCATCCCGTATCAGTTCGGTTTCCCCCTGCAGCTGCTCCCGTTGCTGCTTGATGTCATCAATATCTTTTTTAAACTTTTCCGTGTCGTTCTCTAAATCATTCCTCGATTTTGTCTCCTCAGTCAGTCTGTTTGTGATTAGAGACACATCGGCACAAATGCAACACATCAGAAAAGGCAGTAGAAAGTTGTTAGTCTTACTATAACTAGTTTATATATTGCTCTTCTCCACATTGGGGACTGGAATTTGCCCCAAAGCAATAGGAAGAAGAGGTATTCCAATGACAGCTAAGGGACTAATATGGTCTCTTTGTGAACTTTGCTAAAGCTGGATCAGTGCCATGTGGGTCAAGGTTGTATTACTTTATGTTGATCTTAGTTGAATCTCAACCAAGTGCTAAGAAAATGTTTTAAAGTTAAGATGGAGATACTGATCCAATAATGGCGCAACTTTTTTTTTCTCTGAATATTTGAATCAATATTTAAGTATTGTGGTTTTACTAAATCATCCCTTTGAAGTAGCCAAGTGTCTTTTTTACCTTGTGGGGACAGTGTAATGCCAATTCGCCAGTTGCTTTGTGGGGAGTTAAAGATACTAGGGGAGTGGTGCCCTAGTGGTTAGGACATTACACTTGGATCCCAGAGGTTCTGAGTTCAAGCCCCACTCCCACTGACTGCCACTCTTGGTCCCTGTGCAGGACCCTTAACCCCAACATTGCTCCATAAAGGAATGGGTTAAATGCGGAGGGTGAATTTCCTTTCGATGTAATTGTGACACTGTAATGAACATAAAGATGAATTATATTCTGTTCCACTTGTAGGACAAAGTAAACTATTCTCCATGAGAAAAATATTTATTTTTGGAGGAGTTTAGTTAGGTGTGATAAGTTATGATAAGTCTTTTGATGGGGGGGCAGACTAGTGGTTAGGGCATTGCGGTTGGAATCCAGAAGTTCTGAGTTCAAGCCCCACTTCCACTTGGTCCCTGAGCAAAGACCCTTAACCCCCACACTGCTCCAATGGCAGCCCACTCAGCCCAGTCCCCAACAGGATGGGTTAAATCCAAAAAATTAAAACTTAAATGGAGGTCAGTGGGAATGCCACAGGGCTGTTAAGAGGACCACATTCCTTCCATCCAATATGGCCTCTACAAGTAAACTCAGACTGCTTTATGCTCAGAAACAACCAGGTCTGCATTTGTGTGCATTGGGACTCACTTGCTTTCAAAGTCCTCAAGGGCCAACTTTGAGTTGTCAATCTGGAGCAACAGCCTGGCATTCTCATTGGTGAGCTCTTTGATCTAAACAGATAATAATAATAATAA